TTTTTTAACTTACAGCTAGCCAGCTAGGTTAGCTTTAGCTAATGTTAGCTGCTACGTCCTGAGTGAACAGGGAGAACTGAACTAGCGCTTATTTACTATCTTATATGTCATTGTATTTGTTAACTTACCTTGATATGCTTCTTCCGATTAGATGGGGAATTTTTGAAGGCTGTGATTTCTCAATCTTTCGGGAGTCATTTTCTTTATTTCATATGCTATGCTTGATTGCTCAAATCGGCCAATGAGGAGCCAGCTTCCCAAACCCTGACAAAGCTATCTATCATTACGTTTACATATCAGTAACGAGTAACAACTCAGCCCGTGAAAGTAAAAGTAAAATGATTAAATTAATCAAAGATATGGAGTAAAAGTAAAAGTAGGGCATAAAATATATACTCCAATAAAGTACAGATACTGCATTTTGGTGCTTAATCTCCCCTAAATCTGCTGTTGTTTCAGCTGCCTGATGGCCGGCAGGTGAACGTGGGCGGGGAGCGTTTTGGGGCCCCGGAGGCTCTTTTCCAGCCCCACCTCATCAACGTGGAGGGAGCGGGCGTGGCCGAGCTGCTCTTCAACACCATCCAGGCGGCGGACATCGACCTCAGGTCGGTCAGAGTCAATAAACCAGATTTAGTCTTAACTCATTGACTGCCAGCCATTTTCAGAACAGAGAGTCCCATACTGCCAGCGTTTTTTGAGCATTTTGACTGATTTTTCAAGAGCCACAGAATAGTTTGTGCTATGACTATGTAAACACCGAACACACCAAAAGAAAGAGTAGACTCTCTTCTTTCATCAGGAAAAAAAAAGTGTTTCTACCTTATTCCGTTCTTCCTGGACTTGCGTCTCACCGGCGACATGTTCTCTCATAGAACCGTTACCTTTTTCTTATTTGCCTACAGTCTATGCTCATCTCCCATCAAAAGTGGCACTGCCCCCTAGAGGGTCAATTTGTTACTACATACTCTGTCTAGAAGCCTGATATTTACGGACAAGCTTTAGCAGATCGTCCCCCAGCCACTCTTGTTGAAAAACATAAAAGACGTCTATAGACGTCTTTGGCAGCCAATGGGTTAAAAACTACTATAACTTTCCAGTCGGTATTCGCTTAGCACAAATTTACAAGTAACGTCTGGCTGCAGACTGCAGGAAACCAAAGATGGATATCCAACTCGGCCCTCCACCCACATCCAACTCGGCCATTTTGATTAGGTCAACAATAGGAAGATCCAAGGCAAGAAGATCCTAATTGCTTCATGGCAATATAGACGTTAATTTAAAAATAGTGAAATTAATCTAGCAAACACTGAATTAAACTCTATCCATAATATTATGTTAAAATAGTGGATGTTAAATAGGTTTGTACAATAAGTCCAAACAAGTTTAACCAAAAAATATTTATTTCTCACAATTATGAAGGGTGGAGGGTTAGGGTTAGGGTTAGGGTTAGGGTAAGAGTTGTGACATCGTTTATCTTCCGATTTCGTATAGACAGTGAAATTTTGTTTCCACCTCAGAAAGCTGCTCGTCACATGACCTAATCGAAATGGCCGACTTGGATGTGGGAGGAGTTGGATATCCAACCGGGGCTCTTACAGGCTGCAGCATGAGGCTAATCCAAATCTAAGAGAATAACAAACAGGAAGTCTGCTAGGCTCCTTTATTTATGTGTGATATGATAAATGATGATAAACAGTTGTAGTTGAAGGTAAACACAAAAACTGACCAGAAAAGCAAACCGGAAGTCAAGTAGTCTGGTTTATTTACAGTGGGGGAAATAAGTATTTGACCCCTTGCTGATTTTGCAGGTTTGCCCACTTACAAAGAATGCCTATTTTTCCTCATCAGATGGTTATCAATTTTTATAAATTCATATGTTGTGATTTTCTGGAATTTTCTTTGGGATTCTGTCTCTCACTGTTAGAATGTACATATGATTAAAGTTATAGATAGTTCCATCCATCCATCCATCCATCCATCTATTTATAAATCCATCCATCCATCCATCCATCCATCCATCCATCCACCCATCCATCCATCCATCCATCCATCCATCCATCCATCCAT